ACCCTGAGGCCTTCAGATGAGATGCTGGGCTGAACCCTGCACCATCCTCCTCTCCTGCCTGCCCCTCCAGACCTGGCTGTCACCTGCTCGGGCAGGCCAAGGGGGCTGTGGCCTTGTGCCCCTCCCCTGCTGAAGGCTCAGGAACCTCCTCAGTTCAAAGGTCAGCGTCCCTCAAAGCAGCAGGCTATGCCCCACCCAGCGCCACCCCCCACAGCCCCACACCACAGCCCTGGACAGGTGGGAGCTCTCCCCATCTGGGGCCTGGCACAGTGTGGAGCAACAGGGGCTGCCAGGGGAGCCCCGGAAGGATTCGGAAATGGGTGAAGGTTGAATCCCAAACCTTCATGCTGCCTTGAAGGGGAGGGTGAGGCAAGAGACCTGGTAGCCCCCAGGATGCCTACAGCCGCTAGCCACATACACACCCTCCTCCGGGCACCACCAGTGCTGTGGCCTGTGCCTGTCCTTGTGCTGGGCCTGCGCCCGGGTGCAGTGGTGCCAGGGCTGAGACTGGAACCCTGACTGCCTGAGACCCCCAGCCCCTCCTTGCTGTGCTGAGCCAAATATGAAGCTGGGTATCCAGCCAAGAGGCAGCGCTGGAGCCCAAACCTGCGCCCCACTCCCCAAGGAGCACACACTCCCGGCTTGCCGTCCTGGCACAGCTCAGTGACACATGCTTTTCGGGCCTGCCTGGTGTTTGCCCAGGGAGACTGCAAGCTCTCTGCAGGCAGAGCCCGCTGCCTCTGGACCACTGCTCCCAAGGGCTGGCCAGCACTCCCGTCCGGCACCCAGCTCTGAGCGTCCAGGACCCTCCAAGCCCCCAATACCCCCATCCAGGCTGAAGCTCACCCTTGAGCTCCAGGTTGGAGGGGAAGACTGCTGACCCCAGGTCAAAGGCCTGTGGTCAAAGAGAACTCGCCTGAGCCTACAGGATTTAGCCAGACTTTAGCTTTTCTGTGTCCGCCGGCCCCTGTCTCTCCCAGCCCCAACTCCAAGCAGGCAGAGCTGGTAGCCCAGGGAGGTCTTCCAGTCTCTGTCCACACCTCACCAGGTGTGGACTGGGGACAGCTCTGGGGCTTGGCAGGGGCTCTGCCCTGAGGCGGTTGGGTAGTGCCAGCTCTGCTTTTGGGAGCTCAAGTCAGCCTGGGTAACCTGTCTCCAGAGCACCTGGGCATCCAGGCACTGGTGCTGACCCCCAAACCCTGGGGCTGGAGCAGTTTGGCAGCCTCTCCAAACCCTGCGCCCATTTCTCACCGTCCCAGGAAGAAAACAAGCCAGGCATGTTTGGTCAGGCCTGGGAAGCACTGACCAGGGTGTCTCCCCCCGAGGACACAGAACAAGCCCCAGACCTTTTCGGAAGCCAGCCAAGTAGGCTGGCTGAGAGGGCGGTGAGTGGCATGGGTGGGAGTTTGGGCTGAGTGAGCAACCTGGGGTCTTGCGGGCCAGGGAGTCAGCCCAGCACACGGCCCTAAAGTGGGGCTCCTGGGGACAGAAAGACGTCCCCTTTGAGTGTTCCAGGTGGCTCCAGAGCTGGCTAGGTTGATTGGCCTTCCTCCTGCTCCATCTTACTCGCCCTACTTGTGCCACAGCTCTCCCAGCCCCCTGTGTCTTCCCCCACCCGCTCGCTCTCCACGGTGCGGTAGCGGGGGTCTGAGTATTCACTCTGAAGCTTGGAGCCCTCCTCGCCAGGGGACCTGCTGGAGAGAGAAACCCCCCACCAGGGCAGCACTGGCTCCCTTGGGCTCTCCTGGAGTGGAGGAGACGGCGCAGGGGCATGGGGCAGGGGCACAGGGCAGGGCAGAGGGAACACGGCCCACTGCCACTCGTGCCTGCAGAGGCTTGGGGAGTGCCTTGTGTGCTGAGCCGCCTGCCACCCATTTGTGATGAAGACTGCCCCTCCCTACCATCCTGAGCCAGCTTAAGGAGGGCCCAGCCTCCCTCTAGAACACTCTGTAGCTCACTCTCATCCTGTGCCAGCCCGGCGGCCTTACTAGCTGGCAAGTGAGGAGGGACCTCGTTTGTCCTCCAAGAGCTGCTGAGCCCAGCCCCAAAGCCAAGGCTTCACAATGGAGGCACCAGAGTGGGCTCTCAAAGGGTCTGGAGCCCCCGAGCTGTCGTCAGAGGGGGCTGAAGTTCTCTCCAACCCTGGGGCAGGGAGAAGCTGAAAAAGGGCCTGTTCCCCTACCCTCTCCTGGAACCAGGGTGTGGGGAGGCGGTGACATGGGGACCTCGAAACTGCCCGAGGGCCAGAACCCGTGAGCTCATGGGCAGAAAGGTGAGCTGGACAGGCCTGAGCTGGACGGGCCTGAGCTGGCCTCTCTGCTCCCTTCCTTGCTGCCCTTTCTGGGGTCTCCAAGTGCCCGGCTGGCGCCTGTCCGGGCCAGGCGTCTACATTCCCTTCCTCTTTGGGAAGAGGACAGGGAAACTGACGCCAGGCCCTGAAATAGCCACTGTCCTTCGGCCTGTGCGCCTGTGCAGACGGCTGTGCTGATTGGTCTCCCTTGGTGGGCACAGGTGGCCCTGCAGTGGACAGGCCCAAAAAAGGCCAACAGCCTCCCTGGGCGCTCTTGTGCCCCACACGGCTGGTACCTGGGAGCTGGGGATGAGGCTGGCAGTGATGTCTGCCCCTGCAGGGGGGCCCGGGCCAGGCTGGCATAGCAGCTGGGACTGCCATTCACAGCCACTGGAGACCAGTGGGATGGGAGGGGCAGCTGAGCCAGCAGGGCCGGCGAGGGCACCACCTGGAGAGGTCAGGCCTTGGAGTGGCAAAGAGGGGTGCTGGCCTGGGCAGAGACGAGATGTCGCCAAGTCCATGCTGCCCCGAGTTCCGTCTCCCCGGCCAGTCCCCATCCGGCCCTGAGCCATGGGATGTGTGCTGGTGGCCCCTGCAAGCCCGGCCCCCGGCTGAGCAAGCCTGTGCGTTCTCACAGTGAGAAGCCCCGGGTGCCTGCCATGGGCCCAGTGGGCAACGGTGCAGCCCCGTCAGACCACATGCTTGGTGTCCAAGAACCCTTGTCCCTCACAGGCCTGAAAGCCAGAGACCGGGGTGGAGGGTGAAGCCTGTGGGCCCCCTCGAGGCCAGGATGGCCCAGGATCCCCCTGTGTGGGTCTGTGCAATCCCCACCCTGGCCCTGCCTGTCTCTCCCCCATCTCCCTCTGCCCAGGGTCTGTGGGCCTCGGTTTCTCAGCCAGTAGCCACAGCTGAGTGGGCTGGGCAGGGAGTTTTAGGTGCGGAGCAAGGCGGGTGGGCAGGGGGAGGGGAGCCCCGTGCCCCCTGGCTAGGGATGAGGAAAGCTGCAGCCCATGGAAAAAACAGGGCAGCGGGCGACACGGTGCGGGCAGCGGCCCAGCCACGTCTCGCACGTGATGTTTCTCTCCTGGAGGCCTTGGCCTGGCACACCTCCCTTGCTAAAGTTTCTCACTTTCCACTGCTTCCTGCTTCCCAAGTTTGCTTTCCGGGGTCCAGGCAGACGGGTGGCCAGGGAGACTGCTCCGTGCGACTTTTCTTCCGAGATCCGCCTCTGGGAAGCTTCTCGCCCGGGCGCTGCCGGTCCCCTGCCCCGGCTGCCCTCCCACCCTTTATACTCCTACCTACGGGGATGGCAGTTCAAGGGGCTTGGACTGTCCAGGTTGACAGTGAGTGGGGCGGGGGGCAGAGGCTTGGGCCCCAGCACCTGCTCATCTGCCCAGAGACCCCCAGGCAGGGGCATCAGGAATAAATAAACACAAGGAAAGCACACGGTTGCAAGGCCCAGCCCTCAGGCAAACCCAGCTCCCACTCTCAGCCTCAGTTTCTCCATGTGTCAAGTAAGGGAGTGGGACTGGCCCCACCTGGCTGTAGCACTGGCTCTTGGCTCCAGGGTGCAGGCCTTCCTTCTCTCATCCCCCGTCCCTGCTCAGGGCATTCCCCCCTTTGAAGCCCCCTTGAGCCTGGGGACCCAGTACCCATTCACCGGTGACAGCATAGAAACCTGCCCTCAGCCAGGTTTCTGTTCTCCGCCACTGGCCGTCCCTCTGAGACTGACAGGCCACACGCAAGGCTGGAGCTCAGCCACACCCTGTTCTGTTCCTGCCAGCCCCTCCTGGACCGTCTCCTGGGGTGGGCACACAGTGGGCACGTGGCAGGGACTGTGCCATGAACATGGGCTGCCCTTCACTGCCCGCCTGTGCTGAGCAAACATGCACTTGGCCCTTGGCCGTTGGGCCCAGTGAGGTGGCAGTGGCAGCAGCAGTGGCCACCATTCACACCTGGCAGGGAGACGTTCCCAAGGCCACCTGCCAGCCGAACTCGGGGCCAGGGCACAGGCTGTGCGGCTGGCCCCTCAGCCCACACGTCCCAGGACGGCCACCGGTCAGGAAGGAGGCATCAGGGGCTCCGTCAGCCAACGTCCTCTCTTTTAGCATCCACCAGGGGATGGGAAGGTGGTCCTCAAGAAGCCAGGGATCAGGGCATCGCTGCGGGTGGGGGGTGCCCGAGGCTCCTCAGGGTTCTCCTGGACCTCCACGGCCATTGTGGGGAGGAGGTGCCTAAGGTTCCTCTGGGGGTTCTCCTGGCCCTCCACAGCCGTCGTGGGTGGGGGTGCCTGAGGCTCCTCTGAGGGTTCTCCTGGGATCTCCAGAGCCATCAGGTTATTTGTGCCCATCCAGGTGGCAAGAGCGAGTGAATGAGACACAAGGAGAGGGGTCAAAGTTGTGCCCACCCTCAGGCCATGGTCCATCCCTGGCTCAGGACCAGACAGGGGTGGAATTTGGGAAGATCTGGAGGCACACAACACAGGGCGAGTGGGCCAGCACCCGAAGCATCGCCTGTACCTGCTCAGGCCTAGACACTCGGCGATGGTCCACACGGGGGCTGGGAAGACTGAGCTCCCTGGGCAAAGGGAGCAGCCAGGGGCCTGCAGTCACCGAGCACACCTGGGAGCCCTGCCTGGTGACAGGGCTGGGCGTGGCTGGGATCCCTGCACCCGCGCCTCTCAAATGCTCTGGTTCCACCGGCCTGGATGTCAGCTAGAAAAGGTCTTTTATTCCCTTTCTTCGCAGGGGAACATGTGGCCATTACAATTACTGGTGCCATGAAGGTGCTTCAGCTCCAGGCCTCAGGACCACAGGCAGCTCCTGGAGTGGGGCCAGGGTGAGGAGAGAGGGCACAGGAATGGGGGCCGGTGCCTGGGTATAAGAAGACCCTTGTGGGCAGGGAGAGGGAGAGGAGGGGTAGAAGAGGACGGAAGGCCCTGGTCTTGAGAGCTGGCCTGCCAGGGTGTGGGCAGGTGGCCTCTCATCTGAGTTGAGCATCTTGGTGAGCCCTAACCCTCCCGCCTGGGGGTCTCTGCCCAGCCTGGTCCCTGGCCAGTCGGCCAGCAAGTCCCTCTGCAGCCCTTTCCAGAGGCTGCTGTGAGTCTGTGCCCACCTGCAGCCTCCTGCAGGGCCCTGGGAGGGGAAGGGGGGTGCAGGCGGCCCCAGCACCCAGCCTCACAGACACTGCTCCTCAGGAGCCATTTCTGGGGAGGGGAAGGGGGGTGCAGGCGGCCCCAGCACCCAGCCTCACAGACACTGTTCCTCGGGAGCCGTTTCTGGGGTGCAGCTCCGACTCACACCCCAGAGCGCCTTGTAGGAATGAGCAGCAGGCCTCAGGTAGGTGCTGGCGGGGGGGCCCGTCTGCTTGGTCACATTGGCAACCCAGCCCTGGAGCTGCGGGTCGGGGGGTCTCTGCCTGGAAGGCACATAAAGAAAGATGGAGCCTGGAATTTTTCCCTTCGAAAAAAGAAAACTTGTTCTAAAAGGGGAAAGATTGATGTTCTTGCTTTCCCACACTTGGTTTGGAGCCAGCGAGGTGGTTTCAGAAAAAATTCTCGTCTCCTCTATTAAATGTAACCAAACACGATCGACATTTGCAGATCACACGGGAACCTTCAGGCAGCAAAGCTTGGGAATCCTCCCCGCCCTCCGCCCGGCCAGGCGAGAACAGACGCACCTCTCACCGCTTCCCTGCCCTCCGCCCGGCCAGGCGAGAACAGACGCACCTCTCACCCCTTCCCTGCCCTCCGCCCGGCCAGGCGAGAACAGACACACCTCTCACCCCCTGGCCAGACAGCCGCGCAGGGGCTGTGGGCAGGAGGGAGGTGGGGGCTCCTCAGGGCCCCAGTGTCAGGAGGTGTCCAGATGAGAGTGGAGGCGGGCGCCTGTAGCCAGGGGCTGCCCACCAGCCGGCTGGCCAGAGGAGGCCCCAAAGGAGCCCAGCTGAGGATGTCAATGGGGCCGCGATTGGATGGGGGCCTTGGCATCCCACACCGCACCTGCCCCTCTTGGAGCCCCTCAGGAAAGCTGAGAAGCCAGGGGGTCCAAGTGAGGTGCTGGTGGCCCCCGCAGAGACCCCGCTGCATCTCGGCCTTGACCCTGGGCCAGCGCAGCACGACGGGCCCGGACTTGTAGGCAGCTTCCACGCGGTTGGGGTGCCCTCCTGCATCAGCTGGCTGCCTGGACACGGACCCCCGGGATGCTCCTATGCTCAGCGATGGCCGGAAGGAAGGCAGGCGGAATAGAGACAGGGCCTGTGGGAGGGCAGGACCCGGCAGGCAGCCTCGCCTGTGGCCTGTGCTCAGAGGGGCCAGTTTCCAGCCTCCAGTCTGTTTTCTGGGCAGCCAGGGGGTGGGGGGTCCTGAGGGCAGCCAGAGCAGGCAAGTTCACAGCCTCTGTGTCCTTAGCCAAGACTCCACTTGTCCTCGAGACCACCAGGCCCAACAGCAGCCTCCCACTGACCAGTCAACCGCCGACCGCAGGCCTCGTCCAGACACAGGCTGTCCTGGGCCGGTGCGTGAACAGGGCAGCCAGATCCACCGATGGAAATACAGGGCGGCTGTTAAGCCTCGAATTTCAGATAAAGAACAGAGGCTTGTTTAGTATTTGTCTTCAACAGTGTCCCAAATATTACATGGCACACACTCACGCTAAGAACAGTCATGGTCTACGTGCAATTCGGATTCAGCTGGGCATCCTGCACTTTACCTGGTGACCCTAAACCGCAGAACGGAGCCACAACTGTGCAGGCCGCGCCTCCCGTTGCACTTCGAGGGCCTATCTCAGCTCCGCACCGTCCAGCGTGGCCATCTCCAGCCACCACAGCTGTTTACACTGCAGTCATGAAAACTCCATCAGCCACATTCCAGGGCCTCTAGAGCCACGTGTGGCTGGGACTCCTGGCTGGACTGGGAAGACCCAGAGCGCTCCCATCACTGGAGGAAGCTTTGCTGGGCCCTGCGGGTTTCGGAAACTTCCTCCGGTTGCCTGGCCCGCACCGACCCGCGGGTCTGACTTCTCATGCCAGACCTTTCCACCGGGAGCTACCCGTGCCCAGGGCCTGACTCACAACTGTGGCAGAGGGGCATTCCCCTCCAAGCGGCTCTCGAGGACATGCCTGGCAGAGTGCCTCCCCCCGAGTCCGGATGCCATCCTGCTCAGCCCTGGGCCCGACACCCTCGTTTGGCCCTTGTTGGGGGAACGTGCTGCAGCCAGGGGCCTGATGCGGTCCCATCACCAGCAGAGCCCTCGGCTCCCCTCCCTGCCCTCCTCCCGGGCCTACCCCACAGTGGAGTTACTCACCTAGCACAGCCAGATGGTCCCCACCAGCCTCCGAGCCACAGGCCTCACGGTTGAGTCCCAGCAAGGCAGGGCTCAGCAGGGGCACAGTTTGCGCCCAAGGGTTGGTCGGCAGAGCTCTCCAGGGCTGTCCAGTCACTGCTCCCCAGGCCCTGTTCTCCCAGATTCTCTCACCACGGGGAGAGAAGGGGAGGCTACTGGGCCTGCATGCTCTCCCCTAGGAGTGGGCACCAGCCAGCTTCATCAATGGAGTCATCAAGGGGGTGCTGTCTGGGGGCCTCCCTGTCCACTCCCAAGTCAAGGGCCTGGTGTGTGTAGAGGGTACCTACTGTGTGCAGAGCGCAGAACCCAGTAGGAGGCCAGGCTTTTGCAAGAACCCAGGTGTGAGGTGGTGAGATGAGAGCCAGGTGTGGGGGTGGCGGCAGGAAGGAAGGAGGGGCTCAGAGCTGAGTTGGAGCACTGCCAGTGTGGGGGCAGCCCAGGTCCCTTCTAGTCACCCCCAACTCAGAGCAGCGCTGAGCCCCCCTACCCAGCTCTTCATCCAGACCTGACACCTCCATCCCCTAGGACACAGGCTGACCAGACTGACCATTAACCTGTGGGCATGCACTGGGCACCAAGCAGCAGGCAAAGGCCCAGCCGACCCCAGACCACCCCAGACCACCCCAAACCCCTCAGGCCACCCCAAACCCCTCAGGCCACCCCAGACCACTGCAGACCACCCCCGACCACTTCAGACCACCCCACACCACTGCAGACCTCCCCCAGACCCCTCTGGCCACCTCAGACGATTGCAGACCACCCTAAACCTCCACAGAGCACCCCAGACCATCCCAGACCACTCCAGGCCACCCCAGACCCCTCAGGCGCGGGTCCGCCTTCAAGCCCAGGCCAAAGAAGGCTGAGGCAGGCCTGCACTGCCCGGGGCCCCAGGTTTGCCTGATGTCCTCGAGCCTCCCACCCCCAGACTCTTCCAATTGCTTCTGGGCTTTCCTGAGGCTGGGAGCTGCTTTGGGCTGCCTCGGGCTGATGAGGGGTGTGACGTGGGTACCCCGGACACGGGAGCCAATGGTAACTGCAGCAAGATGGGCTGCGGGCAGAGTCTTGCACCCTCCCAGGAGATGCATGGGGAGCCCAGCCCCACCTGTGGCCCCTCCAGCTCCACCACAGCCCTGCACCTGAGGGTCTGGCGTCTGCTCCACAGAAGTTCAGTGAAGCAAAGAGGGCGTGCGAATGCAAACCCCACCGTGATCCCTGTCCTTATTTGGACTCACCCGAGCCGCCCAAGCGGCTCCCCTCTCCTCCGAGGGCCTGGGGAGGAGGCTCACTCAGGACAGGCGGCCGGTGGGAGGAGAGGAAGGGAGTGAGCCAGGTGGGCCCTGGGGGTGGGGGTGGGAGTGAAGAGGGCAGTGAGAGGCGCAGATTGCTGCTCGGAGGGCCTGGACCCCCTGGAGAGGCAGGGAACCCCTGAGGTCCTACTGAGAACTTTCCATGGTCAAAGACACACTTGTGGGGCACTGGAGCCAGCGCTCACACCCCACCTCAAAATGGCCAATCCTCTCCCTGCTGAGTTCAGCATTTCGGGTAGCCTCATAATCAGCCTGGGAGGGAATATTTATACCCGTCACCGGAAGACACTCCAAAGCAAAGCATGTCTTTTCTCCCTGAGCCCATTGTTAATGCATCCCAGCATACCCTGCCCCGGCAGTAAACTCCCTTTTATTTTTATTTACTTATTTATTTATTTATTGAGACAGAGTTTTGCTCTTGTTGCCCAGGCTGGAGTGCAATGGCGCAATCTCCGCTCACTGCACCCTCTGCCTTCCGGATTCAAGTGATTCTCCTGCCTCAGCCTCCTGAGTAGCTCAGACTACAGGCAGGCGCCACCACGCCCGGCTAATTTTTGTGTTTTTAGTAGAGACGGGGTTTCTCCATGTTGGTCAGGCTGGTCTCGAACTCCCGACCTCAGGTGATCAGCCTGCCTTGGCCTCCCAGAATGCTAGGATGACAGGCGTGAGCCACCGCACCTGGCTGTAAGTTCCATGTTTACAGAATGACTCGGGATCAAGGCCATTCTATGAAAGGTGAGTTTCTGAAAAACAGAAACGGGCAATTCCCAAGAGTTTTATTAAGGGGAAAATATTCCATTTTGTTTAAGCAAGGACAAGAGATCTGACATGCCGGGAGCTTTCTGCCCCTCTGCGGATGGTTCAGTAGACCAGGCACTGCATAAAAGTCTCCCACGAGGCCCCCAGCCGCAGGCAGGTCCCCACTACCTGTCACTCTCACTGCTCAAGGCGGCGCCCGCTGGCTCCCTTGGGTGGGACTAAGGAAAGCACATTCCACTGGGCATTCTCTGAACACAAGCATCTTAATAGGAAATTCACCTTAAAAGGTGACAGGTGTCCTCCCGGGCCAGCTTCTGCGAGACAAAGCATGTCAAGGGAAGGGAAACACGTCTAATCCCCAAGCCTTCTCGTGGGGTTTTGCAGAGGAGATGGTCACAGCTCATGACCCAGCCTGCAACTCCCACCTCCCATGCCCTCAGCCCCAGGGCCTGGCACCCCCACCCTGCTCTGGCTTGGTGGTTTGCAGAGGGGTGACACAGGGCCATGGTCATCTGCACCTGTGGAGCTGTGAGAGGAAGGGAAGGGGCACAGTCTTCGCCACAAGCTTCCCTCGGCCCTATTGTAATCTCTGGAAGGCTCCGTGAGACACCCAAGAGTCAGATGGGGAAACTGAGTCCCAGGGCTCAAGGGCATGCTACGTGGAGGGAAATGGCAAAAGAGCCACCGCCTAGCCTTGCTTATCCTCAGAAGGTGGCAACAGAAGCCACTGACATCCCTAACAAAGTGCCATGTGCTGGAAGGTGTGTATCTATGGGGGTGAGGACACGGGGGCAGAGGGAGCCTGGCCTTTTCTTATAGGGTCCCTGTTCTTGCCTCTCCCCCAGCCTCCCCTGGTGCAGCTTCCACTGGTCCTTCGGAGGGTCGTGCCTGTGGTGCCTGTGGTGCCTGTGGTGTCTGTGGAGCCTGTGGTGTCTGTGGTGTGTGGTGTGGGGTGCCTGCCCCTCCCTCGGGGATGGGGCCAGATGCTGCGTGTCCCAGGTAGGCTCCCCCTCCCCCTGAACATGCCTGGCCGAGGGGCACCGCTGCAAATGTCATTATTACCAGGAGCCGTTTATAGGGTGCACTTTGTCCATGCGCAGGGTTTACAGCCCCTTTTATTCCTCATAAAACGGGAAGGGAGCAAAGCCCCAGCGTGTGGGGGCCAGGGCCTGGCTGCATCCACTGGAGAGCAGCGAGAGGCTGGCTCGGTGCAGGCCCCTTTGCCACGTGACCCTGGTAGGCCCTGCTCCGAGGGGACCTGGGCACAGGGGATGGACTGTGGCAGGGCCTCTCTGGAGGCCTGGGTTTAGGATGACCAGGGGCCCCAAAGAGCCCGATGTGCTTGGGTTTTCTGGAGCAGAGGTAAGGGGGGGGTGCTGAGGGGCTGGGACAGTGAGTCTGGGCTGTCTCCCTGACGGGTCCTCTCTTCCAAGCCTCCTTCCCGGCACATGGATGCTCCATGCTGCCCAGGCCTGGCTCCCCTTCCTCCTCAGCCCTTCACCTGGTCCAGGACAAGAGGGCAGGAGACCCCCCAGGCCCCACGGGGTTATGGGCAGGGAAGGGAGGCGGCTCTCTGCGGAGACTGCCTTGTAACCCAGGAAGCAGGAGAGAGGACTGCCCTGCCAGGGGCAGCAAACAGGCACCAGATAGAACGGGGTGCCCAGGCCTCATCACCCGCCATGGCACTGTCCAAGGATGCCCAGATCACTGAATGCACAGCATGGAGAAGGGCTGAAACGGGGGTCACATGATGGGGGCTGCTGGTGTGGGCCACTCCCCAAACCCCAGGCAGCACAGAGGCCACCAGGTCTCCAGGACTGTCCCTCCAGGGTCTTTACAGGTCCCGAGTCCTGACTCCTTACACACAGAGCGTGGGCCTGGGAGTGGGAGTCCAGGCCCCCCAGGCCCAGGGCCCTCCATCTTCCCTCCCCAGTCAGACTCACAGCACCAGCCCTTGGGCCACAGGGGTGGCAGGCCCAGCTTCAGAGGCGCAGTGGCTGTCCTGGCCTCTGGTCAGTCTCCCTGGGGCAGGGGCTGCCTCTCCTCACAGACCTGGGCCTCCCTTGGGGTGGGTGCTGCCTCACAAGGGAGCCTCAGGTGGGGGTGGGTGCGGCCGAGTCTTTAGTGTCCGCCCAGAGGCATCCAGCGGGCAGCTGACCCCCTAGACCAAAGATTCCTGGAGTCTGAGGCACTGCCTCCCCCACCACGTGGAAAGTTGGCCCTGATCAATTAGACCGCGCGCTAAATAAATCACTCGAGGGGCTTAGAGCTGTGTTTTTGCAGCGGCTGCAATAATAATATTAATAACAATGCCCCTCAGAAACCCGGCCAAGGCTGGAGTCTCAAGTGGGGAGGGAGCGGGTGCAGGGGCCATGCTGGCGTCCCTAGGCCTACCCCCAGCCCCCTGCCCACCCACCAGGGCCCCGCCACCTGGGCCACAGCCTGGCCCTGTCTCCTGGCTCAGAGCGTCCCGGACGTCTCCTACCCAGGGCCCCCTGGCCATGGTAGGGCTGTGCCGGGACCTAGAGCCCACCCCACACCAGCATGCATGCAGGGGAGGCTGGGGAGGCCCGGAGGACCCCCAGAGATACCCTGACCAGAGTGGACAGGAAGAGGCTGTGGGGCAAGGGCAGGGGCAGGGTAGACAGCACAGGGAGAACAGAAGAGAATAGAGTGTGGAGAGAAAGAGGGGGTGCAGGGCGGGTGGAGTAGGGGACGAGGGTCTGAGCGCAGGTTCGGTCCCCTGACTTCTCCAGGACCCCTCCTCCCACAGCGCTGACAGCCGGCATGGAAACAGTGCTCATCTCATGGGGACCTGCCCTGGAGGTCCACGCAGTCTGTGTAACTGCGGGGGGCCCCCGTGGGCACTGGCCCGGCTCTGCTTCTGGGATGAGGTTGAGTGAGCAGATGGGGATCCCTGCAAGGTCCAGGGCCAAGGCAGAGACACAGAAGTAGAGGGAGATGGGTCTCCATTGTCACCCAGGACCCTTGAGAGACCCCCGCCCCCGCCAGAACCTGTGGACGGCTGAGCCGGATCTGTCCCCGCATCCTACAGTGGGGGGTCGGCCAGCACGGGCAACAGAGAGGAGCCGGCACAGGCCCTCCGTCCTCCTTCTGTGTGGGGCCAAGGAGGCCTCTGGCTGGTGAGTCTGCTGGACACCCAAGGCTCGAGAGGAAGCCATGGCTTTGGAGAGTGGCATTAGCACAGAGGGGAGCCAGCGGCCCACGGGCATCCCGCACACCCAGTGCACGGGTGGCAGCAGGCCTGCCCTGAGGGCTGGCTCTGGGATGGGCAGAAGCGGCTCCTGTGGAGCTGCAGGAGAGAAAGGCAGGCGTGCCCTCCCGGCTCAGGCCTCTCCCCACCTGAAGGTCCAGAGAGGAGGCAGCCCCAGAAGACCGCACGGGCGGGGCTCACAGACAGGGCTCAGGGACCAAGGTGTGGGCCCCAGGGGCAGCCAGCAGCAGGGAGGGAAACGGGGAAGAGGGGGCTTCCGCTGTGGGAGATGGCCCCTTGCTGGATGAAGGGCAGTTCTAGGGGGCCTCA